GTGTTCTCTTTGCTGATGATACCACTTTCTTTTATTTGGGTAAAGACTTGGAACAGATGTTTGAGTTGATGAAGATGGAGTTTGTCAAAAATACAAACTTGGTTTAAATTAAACAAGTTATCATTGAACCTTGATAAAACTAATTATATTATATTTAGTAAAAAAAAGACAACTGTCGATGTTCCTTTTAGAGTTGATGGTGTTGAGATATGCAGAGTAGGTGAGGTGAAATTTTTGGGTGTAATTATTGATGATAAACTGTCATGGAAACAGCACATAAATTCTGTAAAAACTAAAATATCTAAATCCACCGCAGTACTGTATAAAGTAAGGGACTTATTGAATGATAAAGCCTTGTATTTGCTGTATAATACAATTATAGTCCCACATTTAATTTATTGTGTTGATGTTTGGGGAACAGCATGTAAAACTATAACGATGCCTATTTTTATTTTGCAGAAAAGAGCTACAAGAATTATCACAAGAAAGCATTATTGTCATCCATCTAGTATTTTATTTTATCAATTGAAATTACTGAAGTTTCATGATTTGGTTAACTATAATATTCTTTTAGTACTGTATAAAGCTCAGAACTACACACTACCTTCAAATATTCAAACTTATTTTGTAAAAAGGAAAAGTTGCTATAATCTTAAGGGAACAGACATTTTTGTTAAACCACAGTACAGAACCAGTTTACAGGGGCGGTCTACTTCAATTCAGGGAATAGGTCTGTGGAATAGTTTGGAAAACGATGTAAAAAAAAGTAAAGTCATTGCCTATATTTAAGAAAATGATTAAGATTAAAATTTTGGAAAGATACATATAAATAAGTAAAATTGTGATGAGTTATTTATTTTGTTATATTACTTATAGATGATTATTGTTTGAATTGATTGTTTGAATTGATTTTGTTTTAAACAAGGGGCAGATATGATAAGATTTTTTCTTCTTCTGCTACCTTTCATTTTATGACGTTTTTTTTTTTCATTTGGTTTCTAAATTGTTTTTGTGTTTTAAATATGAAATGAATAAAAATGACAAACAAACAAACCTGTTGTTCTGTCTGTACAGCACTTTGGTTGGCCTTGTCGCTGTTTTAAGTGCTCTATAAATAAAATGGTATGGTATGGTAAACAGCACAACATTTGTTTTCTAAACACAACGTCCCAGTGGCTTTTAAACTCAAAAATACATTACGGCTAAGACTGGTTCATCCCAAAGATCCAGTTCCCCGGCACAAACAATAATCATATTGTGTATGCTGTTCAGTGTCAGGAGGGTGATCAGTCTTACATCGGGGAAACTAAACAGTCACTGGCCAAAAGGATGGCCCAGCACAGAAGATCAACATCATCAGGCCAGGACTCTGCAGTCTACACTCATCTCCAGGTCAGCGGTCACTCTTTCAGGGATGAAGATGTTCACATCCTGGACAGAGAGGAACGATGGCTTGAGAGAGGAGTAAAGGAGGCCATCTTTGTGAAAAGAAATTGTCCATCGTTAAACAGGGGTGGAGGCCTCCAGGTTCAACTGTCCCCCTCTTACAATGCTGTGATTGCTAGTATCACTCAGCCCTCTGTGAGTAGTAAACAGCCATCAGGTGCTAATGATCCATTGTTAGGCTGATGGTCCTTCTTGAGCATGTGAGCAGCTGGTTTTGGTTGTCAGCAGCAAACTGGTTGATCCACTCTGAGAAGGTGCTATTTAAGAGACTGAGCTGAATACAGCTCCTCAGACTGAGGAAGTCTTTCAGATGAAAGACGAAACGTTTCTACTGTTTTGGTTTTTGGAACTCATCCAGAGGACCAGACTTAACTTTTTTAGATTCTGCTTTGTTAGTTCCATGTTTTTTCTAGGGATGCACCGATCCACTTTTTTTACTTCCGATCCGATCCCAATACCTAGATCTGAGTATCGGCCGATACCGATTCAGTTCCGATATCATGATCATCATTGATTTTATATGAGGCTGTAATAATCTCCTCTCAAGTACAATTTGTACAAATATATGCATGCATGTCCAAAAAGGCAACTTGAGGTAAGTTTTATTAATATTGGATAAGTTTTAAAGTTAGAATTAAATTCTGCTAACACAAAACATGTTTCTTTTTATTCCTAGCTTTAAAGTGGATATTAAAGTGATTAATTTAAGTGATTGTTTAAAGTTGTTTTATATTTTATAAGGGGCAGATATAAGAATTTTTTCTTCTTTCTGCACTCTTTTCATTCAATGTTTTCTTAAATATTTTGTTTCATTTAAATGAATGAATAAATAAATTAAATTAAATAAAATGTTAAATGGCTTCAAACACCTGCTAAGTTCATGGCATAAACCAACAGACATGTTCCTGTTTTTAGTATTTTACATCACTTTATAATGTAGCTGTTTTTGTTTTTAATATATGTAATTTTCAAATCATACGTTTTTTATGATTGTCTACTGTTGTACTGATAAATATCTCCTGGAGGGTAAATTATATCTTGGCTGCAAGTATCAAACTGTGAAATCCTTCATTTTCTACAACTGATAGTGGTTGGTCATTAATTATGATGAAGTTTAGCAACTTCTCTGTAAACATTTGAGCTCCGTGGCTTCAGCTACGTCTTCTTCTTGTTCAATCCGAAGCAGGCAGCCTGATTTGGGGCAGCCCCGCTCAGTCTGTTCCTCCTCAGAGACAGGCAGACTTAGCGGGGCAGATTGGACGCAGCTGGCCGGTGTTGAGTCGACTCTTTTGGTTTGACCAAAGAGCAGCGCCCCGCTGAAGCCACGGAGCTCGAATGTCCATCGTAAAACTAACTTTACCGTGGTTTAATGTGGCGCTTTGGCTCTGCAGACATTGCACGTTGCTGTCTTGTTTTGTGGTGTTTAGTGTAAAATACTTCCACACAGCGGACGTTTAGATGAAAAGTTGGTTAGCTGTTAGCCACAGTGCTGCTAACTCAGCCCTCACGTTGTAGCTGCTGCAAACTATGAAATGGATTTCCTGAATGTGAGGCGGGTCTTATTACTCTGGGTTCATGAGACACGCCGCCGTTCATGAAATCCATTCCATAGTTTGAAGCCAACATGCATCATGGATCGGAAATATCGGCAGGTGGATCGGAAAAATCCGATACGTAAATTATGCTGGTATCGGAGGCCGATACGGATACTGGATCGGATCGGCCCCATCCCTAGTTTTTTCCCAAATTTTTCACTCTATTAAAAACAGTTCAAGTAACTGACAAGGGTTTTTAAGTCAGTAAATTTAAGCTATCCTTTTCTAGTTTATTTTAATAACTGCTGCTTATATTTTCATACTTGTTTTATTATATTTCCAATACAGCTGAAATGGTCAATGCTAACATGAACTATCCAGATGATTACTTCTCCTGGTCATAGTGAGCTAAATATGTTGGTGTCATACACAAGTTGTGTATAGTGGCAGGCACAGTTCTTATGTAAAACTGATTATTTCAAATGTAGCTCTCTTACCATGATTCTGCAGCTCTGGATATTTCTTCCTGCATTCTGTACAGCTACCTATGGATGATTTTGTGTTACAGGTTATAAATAAAGTTTGTGAGCTTCTGTATTTTCTGCACATTTGCATTCCCACAATGAAATTGAAGCCCTGATTTCTATTACAGAATCCACTTCATCAATATCTTCAGTCATCCAAAAATATATTAAATGTAAAATATCCACCCACCCCACAAAAAAACACCTTTAGTCCAGTGCTTTTCAAATATCTTATCACTAACTAGCTGATAAATGTAATAAATGAGTGAGAATCAGCCACAAACCAGAAATACAGAAATTGTGTGACCCCACTGAGACCAGAACAAGAAATGTAAAAAGTTCAGCCATGTTGGGCTTGGTTGCTTTTCTGAATTAAGACGTCCTGAGAGAAGGGGTAATTAGCGCTCAGTTATCATTTTACATCGGTCTTTGACCACAACTTGTAGTTCAATTCAATTCAGTTTATTTATATAGTGGCAAATCACAACAAAGTTGTCTCAGGGCACTTTATAGAAACATTCACATAAAAGCCAATTAGTAGTTCTCTATCTAAGGAATCCAGCAGACAAGATGAATCTTGGCTTCGTTGCAGTCTCCCATCCTGAGCAAGCACAGTGGAGACAGTGGAAAGGAAAACTCCCTTTAACAGGAAGAAACCTCCAGCAGAACCAGGATCAGGACAAGAGACCATCTGCTTTGACTGTAGTGAAGATATTTAAGAGATATTTAGGCATAACAACATGAGGACTATGCTGGTGAAGATTCTCAGTCATCCAGGACATGATGAATTCAAAAAGCGTTCAATACAAAAACAACTGGACTTTATTTGTCAAATAAAGTCCAGTTGTTTTTGTATTGAACGCTTTTTGAAAACATGAGGACTACCGATAAATATACTGATCAACATGGACACGTGGTTAGAACCTCATTTGGCATAATTAGAATTAAATTTCTTTGAAATTCTTGGACCATGCTACAGTTTGAGGATTTACTTGGAATTAGTTGCTTGGCAGGACACTGGCATCACAGTCCACAAACACCAAATTTCTACAAAGATGTGTGCAGATAATGCATGAGATGTATAAGCTCCAGATATAACATACAAGCCTGTTTAAACACACATTACATTTTTTTTCTAAGCAGCCCGAGTAATTACAATTCTTTCAATTAAACAAGATCTGCCTGCAAGAACAGCACAGCAAAAATGGAAACAAGGTGATAAAACAATTAAAACCAGAGGAGAAACAAAAAGTGGAAGCATTCAAAGCAGAAAGCACGAGGGATGAGGGAACACCTGCGCTGACGTGTATTTAAATAGTCCATCGAGTGTGCTTCGTTCTACACTACCACACCTACACTGTCATAACAGGACACTCAAACCAGTATCAGGACACCTGCCTTCAGGGCCAACAGGGAACACAAAAATCATATCTGATGAGAAGAAAAACTTTTTAAAAGACATGAGACCGTTTGCAATGATTCTCTTAGTTCTTACCTGTGTCTGTTCTCATCATGTCCTCCTTGTCCATGTATGATCACCTGTCCTGAACTGTGCTTCCCCTCTTTTGGCGAGTCAATGTGTGGGATGAGCACATCCTCCAAGCCAAGGTCAAAGCGCTTGTGCTTGGAATTGTCTGGGAGGAAAAAGAAGGCTCCAAAGCATAAAGTGATGAAGGCACTCAGGATAAGGAGGAGAATGAACTTCTCTGACAGCCTCAACGTCGCTCTGTGGTGTGGGAAAGAGGAGGCACCTGGTGACAAAGTGGGTATCCTGCGGCCCGACAGGGGCAATAGAGCCGGTGTAGTCATAGTTTGACAGCTGAAGTACAAAAAAGAACTTGTATGCGAAGGTGGGTTTTACAGGTGCCACAGGTGAGGTTGTAGACCATTAATTATCTCATCCCTGCTTTGGAAAGTCCGGAAACAAAACAGGACCTATGAACCTCAGCGAAGAAGTAACCAGTCAGCCAAAAAATGGTCATGACGAATCTGGAAAAAAGGCCACATGACAAACAAAGAGTTTGTGTGTTACTTGGAAATCAATGACATCTATATAGAAAATTGTCAGAAATGTTATTTCTGCTATTATCTGTCCAGATACTAGTACTTTGACATGCTTTAAATTTGTTATTTTACCACCATCTCACCAACTCCCTGACAGGATCATTCTAAGATGCAAAGCTTAAAAACATTTTAAAATAAAGAAATAAAAAACACATAACTTCAGAAAACTGACTGTTGTTTGTTAAGTTACCTGCAGCATCAAAATAATAAAAAGCAATACTTTTCTGTGCCATGTGTTGTGTGATGTGGTACCACAACATAACCTTTAATCCTTCGGCTGAGAAAAATGAAACGCATTATTATTATATAAGGTATGAAGGGGCTGTGCCATGTGTGTGTGTTGTGGAAACACTGCGTCCTGATTTACAGTATCCTTATTCTGCATATTGATTATGTATCCTGGATTATTGAGCATGCATCAGGATGTTATTCTGCATATTGA